AGTAAGGAGAGGGTGCGAGACGACCTCAAGTTAAATCTGACCGACAAGGGGGGAAAAAAAATCAACAGGAGACTCCAAAACCCCAGTGAGAGGGGCCTCGAGATGCCGCCGTGCAGACAGCACTAACCAGGCCCTGACAGGGGTAGCCTGAGGTTCATTTATGAAAAGAATGAAGTTTTATAAAGACTAGAAAAAGAAATTAAAAAATAACGAATGCCTCTTTTTGAAAAGGCCTTTATGAGAAAAAGAAAAGGCTCTGGGATAATTTAATCTGGAGAAAGCGAGTCCAGAGGCAATCTAACTTGTTGAAGGGTTATTTATAAGGAGGTGACTAAACAGCTGTTCTCCGATTTCACAGGGAAAAGAATTAGAGGAAACTGATTTACATTTCGGAATGAAGCGGAAGGCAGGCAAAAGGAAGACCCGCTGGAGGGAGAAATGTTGATGAAAAAGGCTGAGTGAAAAATGATTTTTGTGGCCTTTGCAAGATGGAAAATCACCTATGTGGATTCTTTCGGTTTGGGGTCAAACTAGCAAGCCCATAATCGAGAATGTCCTCTATTCATCTGCTGGACTGCCACGCACTGCGGCCTCCACGGCCAGGCGGGTGCCGGCCCACGGGGGGAAACAGCAGCTCACCTGGGAGTCCTCAGAGCCCCTCCCAGGCCGAAAGGAAACAGTAGCAGCCCTTGGGAAGAAGCTACAATGCAGCCACAAAACCACCACTAGCAGCTGGATGAGTGACACAGGCAGCACATGCTTTGAATTGGGGAGACAACAAGGGCCTTTGCAGATGGGGGGAAGCAGAGCAAGTGGAGGAGGGTGAGCCCCCCAGGAAGGGACACCGCAGTGGCCAGAGGAGGCTGGTGAGTGGATGTGGGAAGTGTGGGATTCACGGAAAGGTGGGTAGGGACAGCTTCCTAAAGACCTTGGTGCACCCGCCCCAGGCACCTAACGGGTGGGGACGGGCAGCAGTGAAGGCTTTCATGAGAAGGGATATCAGGGGAGCAGCGACGGGCTGGGAGGGCCCGAACCCACAGGGTCACAGTGGGATGGAGAGAGAGTGAAGCCGCATGGGCACGTCTTATTCCCCTAATTTATTTTGCAATGCACAGTGGACTCTGGGCTGTTAAGGGGTATGGAGCAGAGTCCCTGTCCACTCTGGCCAGAGAGTGAACTAGAGGGGAGAGTCCAGGAAAGGGAGACCACCAAGACAGCTGCAGAGCTGGCAACGAAATGTCAAGGTGTAAACAGAACCCCCCCCCGCCCCCAAATCACCAGCGGTGTGTATCTTGGGCAATGCCGACCTGGCAGAGCCTGGAGCAGGGAAAAGCAGACATGAACGTGTCCACAGTGACTGTGGCGCCAAGTAATGGGCGCCGCAAGTCAGGTCCTTCTTGGCTGAAATGTTTCCAGATTTTATCTCTTCAAATAACTGAGATACAGTCACAGCTCCCCACTACCCACAGACAGGTATTAAACAACTTTCAAAAACTTCATCACCTCTCCTTGGTATCTTTTTTTCTTTCTTTCCCTTAATTTAATTTTGACTTAACTTCCCCTGTCACTGCTTGCTTACAAATCATGGCCCCGATGTCTGGAGTCAATTAAGGCCATTAAGTACCCCACCACCCCTACATCTGGGGACCCATTTATATAAATTTTCTTACTGTAAGAGGTAGAGCTAAAAAAAAGTCTGTAACTCCAAGTTTCCAACCAACCATCACATCCTATTCTTTTGGAAAAGTGTGCTAGCCCCAGTTAAGAAGACAACATTAAACTACCTATTGTGCAAGAATAGTTTCTTTCCACCTGTATACAAATGAATTGTGCTTTGAAATTCATCTGTAAAAGGTGGGTGAATGTGTATAATACATACTTAATAACATTAAAAAAACCTTTCTACTTGGGCCTCCCTGGTGGCACAAGGAGTTAAGCACAGCACTGTGAAGCTATCCACAGCTACTGCAGCACGAGTTCGACCCCCACTCAGGGAGGTGACCCACATGGCGCAGCAGACCTCTCCTGTCTCCTGGCTTTTCCCTCAGCAGTGGATTTCGTCAGTCTGCCTGTTCTGCTCCCCACTCTGTCTCCGGTGAATCCTCTCAACCCCCCCCCCACAACACCTCTGGCCTGTACCCCAGCTCTTGTATGCATAAATAAATAAATCTTTAAAAAAAGTAATAAAAATGAAAATAAAAAACCTTTCTACCATTTAAAATTAAACCTAATTTCCTAATTGCTTCAGTGGAATCCCTTGCAGCTGAAATATTTAGTCCTTTTCCCACCAAACATTCACTGTATAATCCTCTTTGAATATCAGGCATACCAGGTAGGTGTAAACTGTCCAACAGAATAAAAACACACATTTCCACTGAAGGCAGCTTGAGCTGGAACCTGATAATGGCTTGCAGACCCCACTCCAGTTCAGATTTATAGTCAAGACGCTGTGAAGAGTCGCTTTCAATTCTCACCCTTCAGGGCATATTTAGAGGAAAAGTATGAACTGCCACATCACTAAGAGAAAATCTGTTTGAGTGTAGAATTCTCGACTTTTCCCTGTTGGAATGTTCAGTTGGAAGGTAGAGAGAAAGAAGTCTACCTCCTGTCAAAAGCACCTTACATAAAATAGCAGGCGTGAGCTGTCCTAAGTCCTGCCCATGGGCAGCAATTCCCTTTGTCACTGTCTTTTGGGGTCACCCAAGTGGGGCTGGAACGTAACCCTGGCTACTGCTGGTGGGCACCAGTCTGTTGCTATCCCCATCCTAACCCAGGTGATCAGGGAAGGAACTCCAGGTGATGGGCAGACACCTGATGCGGGTTGTGGCTGGAAGCCTCTACCCAGTTCTCACACCCACCCTCTCCCTTCCAGTCTCCTGCTCAGACCTGCCACTGGCTGCACCCAGAGTGTCAGAAGCCAGAGAGCAAGGCACCTGGCACGCACTCCAGAAAGATCAGCCCCTGGGGCAAGGGCAGAGTGGAAAGAGAGGGAGCACATCCGGAAGGGTAAGGGGAGAGCAGATGGCCCGCAGGTGAGCAACCGCGTGCCCCTGAGCCATCTCAGCATGCCTGACCAGCCAGCACTTTCCTCCTCGGGAGCCTCCGCCACATGTTCCTGCCCTGGCCGTCCTCTCTCCATTTCCACGTGTGGAAAACCTGTGAGGCTCACCTACATGTCCCCTCTTCCTGAAGCCTCCCCGTCTCACCCAGGAGTAATCTCTGTCCTCTGAATTCTCAAAGTTCCTCTTTTGAAGATTTCTTTTTTTTTTTTTAAAGATTTATTTATTTATGCATACAAGAGCCAGGATACAGGCAGAGGTGGGGTGGGGGATGAGAGGATTCCCCAGAGACAGAGTGGGGAACAGAACAAGCAGACTGACCGAAGTACACTGCTGAGGGGAGCAGCGGGCAAGCCAGGAGAGGTCTGCTGCGACATGTGGGTTGCTCCCAGGCTGGACAGTTGGGGGGGGGGGCGCGGGATCGAACTTGTGCTCGTGCTGCAGTGGCTGCGGGCGGACAGCTTCATAGGTTGCGTCTTAACCCCTTGCACCACCCAGGAGGCCCTTTTGAAGGTTTCTATAATCACTTATGCCCATCTCTGGAGTTGGCTTCTCACTGTAAGCCTGGTGTAGGGTAAGGTAAAAGTATCAGGCTTTTCTGCGCCCCCACCATTAGGATAGATGAGGGAACCCTGTGGTCCCGAATGCATGCCTGATGGCGGGCACCTGAAGTGGGTGCACCTGGGCTGAGATACTGAGTTTATAAGGGCGGCATCACAGGGACGCCAACAGAAGCCAAGAGAAGCAGAGAGAAAGTCAGAGAGAGCCCAGACAGAGTGAGGATTTGCTGGAGGCTGTGAAGACTGCCAGCCTCCCGGCCCCCCAGCACCCCTGCCTGCCATGTGCCTGGTAAATCTAAATAAAAGACCTGCACAAGCCACTGAGGACTCCGACTCCTCCTTTACCCGATCTGCTGGGTCAGAAAACCTGCTCAGTGGCCTGTCCTGCCTTTACACCTGGTCATCCATCTGTCTACTTACCTACTATAAGTTTTCCACTAGAACAGAAGCTTCCGGAAAGCTTGTCTCTTTCACCTCTGTTCTATCCCCAGGACCAAAAACAGTACAGAACCTATAGTGGCAGCTCAACCAGTATTTACTGAATGAATAATGCCCCTTCTGGACTGTCAGCAGACTGATGGCCAATGAAAGTCTCCCCCATCTGCCTACCCCAAAGAGCTGCGGTGCCTTCCTGACGCCGAGGGAGATAATAAATACAGGCTAATAATAAAGGAGTCGCCATTTAATGAGAATCTAATAAAGTACCAGATAAAACACTGGCAGCTTTACTTCCTCACAACCCCCCTAAAAGGTAGTGATACAGCTGTGCCTTTACGATGAGCCCCTCAGGCCCCCAACTTCTAGGAGAACTGCCGCTGACGGCTCACCCCCGAGTCTCTTTCAGGTCCCGGCAGGGGCGGCCTCACCCAGCCTGCGGCCCTTCGAGCTGGGATGCCACAGCTGCCCAAGGCACTGGTTTTAAAGGCCAGCCCCTTGCCTCACCAGGGCACTTCTGAAAGGCCATCTCAGCTCCAAAGTTCTCCAGGGGGCTGACTGCTGAGTGAACAAGCAAAACGACGAGTGCCCCAGACAGAGCTGTGGCCTGATACACATCCATGTCTCCTTCCTTCTCAGGGACTTCACTGAAAGGCTTTTTCTCCTCTTCCCCCAAAGCACACACCTCAACACTATATAGAACGCATGGTGATTAAAACAACAACAACAAAAGGTTTGGCTTGGAGCTGGTTGGGCACTTTGATTCATGTAGCAAAGATGCTCCTGAAGACAGGGTGCCGAGCAAACACGGCCAGGAGGAACCCCCCGGCCACCCACCCTGTGGTGCCCGGTGAACACAGCCCGAAGCCCAGGAACGCGCCCCCATCCTGCTCACACCAGCCCGGGTGGCGCAGGCCACGCTGGCGGCCCAGGGCCCGCTCTCACCACACGCTCCCCAGCGGGCCGCTTGGCCTTCCGGACCTCGGTTTCCTCACAAGTGAGGGCACCCAGCAGGCGAGGAAGCCGAGGACTACCGGCCAGTGCTGGCAGAAGTGGCGCTCAGCGGGCTTTGTCTTAGGCTGACAAGAGAACGCGAAGGCATCAACGCAACATTTGTGGACGATCTTCTTGTACAGGTCCAGAAAGTCTGGACTGAAAATCCACGAGTTACAGGAAAATTACTCCCTTCACGAAAGGCTTCACCGCAGACTTCCTTCAGATGGGGGCCCCTCTGTGGTGCGCCTGACATATAATTAGACAGGGCTACTCGTGACCTCTTTCTAATCAAAAGGTATTAATTTGTCTCCATTTCCTACCACAGCAAATAAAAACTCATCTGCTGGGAATTTTACTTGTTCTGTCTGGCTTTTTGTTCCCAAGGTAGCATATATTCATTAAAGAAATTCAGGAAAATAGAGACAGAAGAATCATCCATTGTCCCATCACTCAGAGAAGCCATCGTGAACATTTTGGTGGATTCCTGCCAATCACGCTTGGAGTGTTTTGACTGCGCACACGTTGTTTTGGTTGTATCTGGTCTCAGTAGCAAGATTTGGGTTTTTTTAAAGATTTATGCATAAGAGAATTTATGCAGGCCAGAGGTGCAGGGGTAGGATCCACCAGAGACAGAGTGGGGAGCAGAACAGGTAGACGCACTGAAATCCACTGCTGAGAGGGGACCACGGGGAGACAGGAGAGGTCTGCCGCACCATGTGGGTCAGCTTCCTGGCAGGGGATCAAACTCATGCTGCAGGGGCTTCAGACAGCTTCAGAGTGCTAAGACTTAACCCCTTACACACCACCAGGGAGACCCCTTGGTAGCAAGTTTTTATCCTTTAGTGACACCAAGCAAGTCCTGCATCGTGCACACGCCGGGGCGCTCACCACCAGCCCAGCGAGGGAGCAATGCTGTGTCTGCATGAAGCTCCATCATGAGCACCATCGAAACCACCCCACACCGTCATGAGGACAGCTGCTGCTTGTTTTTAAATTCAGAAAGACCATCCTCTTCTAGAAGACGGGACAACATCCACATCCATTTTCTTCAGTTTTACTCTAACAATTATCCCCAAATCATCATGACATAAACCTGACAATGCCGCCCTCATCAAGGTAAGTTTACACACACACCTGGCCTAACAGGCTTCCCTGACAAGCCTTATATTATCTTCTGCTTGAAACGTTGCAATACCTGCAAAGGCTAGTCCCTCACCCCCCACACATGATCTGCTACTACTCTTCAAAAACTAGCTATTCTCACACACCTTTTTTCCTCCATAAATTTCAGAATGACTTTCAGGTTCCTCTCAAAAAAAGTTCTGTCTGAATCCTGATTAAAGATGCACTAAATCTACAACTGATTTAGGAATGGATGTATTCACAACACTTTTTCTTCCTTCCTAGCTACACAATTGTTTTTCTATTTATACAAAACTTCTATATTGCACTACAAAATTTTAAAGTTCTCTTTAAATGGGCCACTTACATTCTTTATCATATTAAGGTTATTTTTAGAGATGATTTTGTTACTACAGTAAATGTTTCCTTAGATTTTCAAGTGATAATTGAGATACGGGATCGCCGATGACTTTTGTCTGAAATGTAACAGGTCCATAAAGCCAAGTTCACTTCACACTGCTCACCAAGACGCCCCACGCCTACGCAGTGGTCTCCGCAGTGTCACTGAAACACAGTGAGCTTCTGCTGACTCCTACCATCCCTCTCCAAGGCTCTGCTCCTGTGGCCTCACCCCCTGTCTACGCCAGTCATCCCAGAGCTGGTATAAATTCTGACACACTGAACACTTTCCCCCAAAATCAGGGATAACTTTCCTCTGGCAACATCAGGACATCCAACTTTTATATTTGAGAAAAGATTAAATAGAGAACAAGAAAGGCAAATTTATTTTTTGCCTCCTAATCTTTTTAAAAGATTTTAAACTTGCTTTAACTATACTGTTTTTGAAAAAGAGGAATGAGCTGAAAGCAACCTAAATATCTTCCAGGAAGGGTTCAGGTAAACAAGTTTCAGATTTTTAGCAGCTATGTGGCCAATAAATTGGTTGCATTGAGCAATATATACTGACATAGAGAAAACATTTATAATACATTGTTATTAAGTAAAAAAGGCAAGAAAACAAACAATGAGGGCCTATGTGGTGGTACTGTAGAAAAATTCTGGTTTTGTTTCATAGGCAGAAGTCTGGAAAAACATGCACCAAAACTGTAACAGTGTGACAGTGGCTACTTCTGGCCAGTTGAGTCCTATGTGTACATTTTATTTTCTTCTTCATTCTGTTTAATGAGCACTTACTAGTTTTATAATTAGATTTTAAAAGTCAACTTCAAAATCATGTCCCCCATCTCAGTCCATTTTAGAGTATACAACTGATATTAAATCAAGACATTTGTGGAAATAGACTAAATACCAACTTCAAAAAACAAACTCTTTTTCATCTATGTGAAAAATTTCGAGTAGGTAGACAGTGGTGGGAAGGGCCAGGGAGTGCTCTGTCCCGGGACTCTGGGAGATCAGGCAGAGTCACAGGCCATCCTGTCGGCCAGGTCCTTCAGGCCTACTTGGCCCAAGTCCCTGGTTCAACAATTAGAAAAATGAGGGAAAAAACCAACAAAACCAAAAGAGGTTAGGGAATTCTCCAAGATCATTCAGATAGTTACTGGCAAAGTCCAAAAATGTCTAAAATTCGGCACTTATACTTTTTAATGCCTTTCTTAATTTCTCCAAGTCAAGATAGGCCGGGGTCTGCCACTTCTACTTTGACGGTGAAAGGCAGAGGCTGTTCTGCCAGGGCGTCTCATCCCCTGTCTAAGGTGTGGCAGGAACATGAAGCAGACCCCTCTCCCGGCTAAAAGCACTGAGTCCTGCAGGAAACTCCTGACAGACTGTGACGAGTTGGAGCCAGCAAACTCCGGTATTGACAGGCCTGGAAGGAGAATGTCAGGAAGGAGAAGGCAGACGGAGCCGAGGGGCACGTGGGTCAGGCTGTCCACACCCGCGATCTCAGAGCTCTAACAGCACCCCTTACCTTCAATTCTCTGGCTGTTCACTTTCTTTTAGAGATTCCGAGGGACCGCCTTTAAGTCACTTTTACACCTAATATGGCTTACGTGTAGTTTTTCACAAAGCAAGCTGTGACTGACCCAGAGGACTTCACTGACACTTTGCCCACCAGAGGGAGCCAATAGGAACTGCCATGTCACGAGAAGCCTCACATATCAAGTCTGTATGAATTCCTGATTACTCATAGTATGATGAATATTATAAAATCACTTAATAGTTCTATGCTCCCAAGAGAAAAATTAAACGAGGTCAGGAGCTCCTTAACAGAGGTCCCGATCTCTGGCAGAAGCTCAAAAATAACTATCTCCACAATGTGGATCCTCCCAAGAACTAGCTGATGCTCGGAGCAGGTGAGGAAATGGGCCCTGGCTGCACACACGCTGGCGAGCACTCAGTCGGCATCTGCTCTGCCAAATGGTTCCATGCTCCGAATGTTGACAAGTCTGATTCTCAAGTCTGCAAGATGGACCCAGGCCCTGGACAGAAGAATTCATTAAAAATGTCCCCAAGGGGCCCCGGTGCAGCGGCCCCATCCTAGTGGTGATCCACTGAACTGCTGGGGCCCCACCAGCTAGAAACTGAGGAGAGAGGAGCTTCCCTCTGTCCGGTGTGCCAGTTTTTCTTAAAACAGAGAAACCTAACCGTGCCTGAGAACCATGCTTCTAGAATGTGACATGATCATTACTACCAAATGTGTTTCCTTCAAGAGCAGACTCTGCCTAAGAGCCTGGCTCCTGAACAGGCCCTGCTGAGTCCCGGGGCAGGCTGGTGGGGCTGCCTGTGTTTCTGGCATAAGAGGGCACAGCTCAGCGCTGGCTGCACTGGTAAGGCAGGTCTCAAGCTTCCGTGCAGCTGGCTGGGCACAGGCTCTTGAGTCTATTTTATAGACTCGTGTCCCCAGATGTCCATATGACAAAACTGGAGAACCCACAGGATTCCAGCCCTGCTCTCCATCCAGGCTTACCAGGTGTGCACAGACTCCTATGTCCCTGGCCCCCTGCATCTCTTCTCAGCTGTCAGAACTGAGAGGAGGCACAAGTAACTGGAATGCAAGTCCAACCCTAAGACATCTCTGTGCTATAGATTAGCTTTTAAACTTTCCAACCAGAAAGTAGGAATCATTCTACCTACCTCTGCTCTTTCTAGCCCCAATAATTACGTTTTGTTGAGCCTGCCTAAGTAGATCTTTGTCTTCTGTCCCTCCCTACTGTCACCAGCACATCAGCTTCCACCTGAATCACTGCACCAGCCTCCTTCCCAGCTCTCCTGTGTTGGCCACGAGCCACGTCGTGATCCCATCTTCAGTGCTGATTATTTAAAGCCCAAGCAGGATCTGCGTCTCTGCTCACACAGCTCAGGGCAGAAAGCTCCAACTCCTCAGTACTGCTGACGATGCTCTCACCCCAAGACTGGCAAACTTTTTCTCAAAAGAGTCAAATAGTAAATTTTAGGCTCCGTAACTCGGCCATTACAGCAAATAGCCCCAGGGCTACATGTAGAGACAAGAACACAGTCACACTCCCACAAAAGCCCTTTTACTAAGCTAAGCAGTTGGCCCGGATTTGGCCTGGGGGCCAAAGTTGGGACCCAGCTCTGGCCACCCAGATCTAGCACAGCCTCATCTCCTGTACCTCACCTCTGCCAGGCCTCCTCAGGAAAGTGCTCCAGCCATCCCAAGCCTGGTCTCTGCTCCCCCGTGTGTGACAGGGACAGTGCTCACTCTCCCCTCCACCAGCAATGTCCTCACCCCCTTCCTTTGGCGGAATGGTTCTCATCCTTCAAAGTCCACACTGATTATCACCTGCACGCTGAGGATCCCGCTGGCTCTTTCCAGGGGACTAAGTTATCCTTGATCTGCATTTTCTCAGAGCATGACGCATGGCTCATCATGCTGTGTCCTCAGTCCCTGACGCACACCAGGTGTTGGCTGCTTAGAGGGTGCTGGGATACATCAATTACTGCCTAAATGTAATTTCCAAAGCTGCAGACCTCATAGGTGCTAGGATAACGTCAGAATGTAATCTACACGTGGGATCACTACGAATACCCCGAAAAGTCTCTCCCCTAGGGTTCTGCTTACAGCCACATGTAGTGATTTCGAGCCACAGAGACCCAAAGCAGGGAGCTGGGAGAGGCCCGGGATAGAGTGGTGCAGAGGTCTCTAACCTGTGCGTCTCTGACCCTACGGCTCCCTTCAAAGAGGCTCCTCAAAAAGGGGGAAGGGTAGGGCAAGGACAGGCTGGCTAATGAACCTCTCTCTTACCAGCCCCTCACGTGGCTGTGGCCAAAGTTGCTCCTTACTGCTGCTGCAAAAGGGTTTCTGCATTTGTTTAAAAGGAAAAAAAAAAGTGCATGTGACTCGACACACTCAGGCTCCCTTAACAGTCTTGGTTCTATTGTCTCACTGGCTTCCTAGTTTGTTCCTGCCCTATCTGACCATCTCCAGCTTCTCTCTGACCCTTGGCTCCTGCTGTTAGATATTCCTTCTTCAAACCACACTCCCTCGTCTGAAAGCCCACGGAAGCAGGATTACACGCAATCCCTGGTGTAAGTCTCTTTCCAGGCACCCTGGATAATAACTCTGGTGGTCCCAGCTCTGCCTCTGGGCCATACAGCCTGCGCACAAGGTGAGCGCTATGTCTGAGACAGGGATGGATGGCAAGGGGTGGGGGCTGGCGCTTGTGCCTGGGTCCCAGCTAATCTCATGTCTGCTTCTGCACTAAAGTATAAATGCCCTGAGGTAGGCACTGAACCTTAGGAATAAAACAGAAGCTACTATCTACTTAATGTTTACTCCGGCTACTGGTTAAGTTGTAAGTGTATAAGGTGTAATTTTAGAAGTCATGTTAGAATTACACATTTCTAGAACGGAAAGCCCGGACAGCTCCCAAAGGGAAAGCCGAGCGACACAGTAGATGAACACTGACTCGTGAATGAAAGAAACATTTACCGCTATCTATGTCCCTGCACCGCTCCAGACCTACGGAGTCCATGGGAGACAACACCAAGTCTTTGTTTTCATGGAACACACATTCCAGTGAGTAAGTAGACACATGACACGTTATGTCTAAAAAGAAGGTAAGGCAGAAACAGAGCGTGGGCTCTTTACACAGGGCAGCTGAAGACGGTCTCAACGTGGGCAGAGACCTGCAGATCAAGCCATTGATCTTGGCGAATTCGAACTTCAGCCAGGAACTGAAGATAATGAGTTCCTTACAAAGTAAAAGTGCTTCCGCCGCATCTACTGCCAGGATGAAGCCCATTCTCAGCAGCCAGACTGCAGACGTTCCAGGAAACGCGCCACCTCCCTGAAGGGTCGAGCTGCTGTCGAGAAGGGCCCAGAGGCCTGTCGAGCGATTCCATCATGTCGATGTGGAACTCAGTCTCCCTGGAAAGCAAAGGGCCTCCAGGCTGACAGATGGTGGAGCAGTAGAAAGGAACTGGCTGCTGTTCACTCTCTGCACTCGCGTGCAGGACACGACCGGGGGCTACTCCGGGCTCCCGGACAAAGTGAGGTCTGTGCGTGCTCACTTCCCCATCAACACTGCTGTGAGTCTCTTGTTGAAATCCAAAATTTCTTGGGTGAAAAATACATTTGCAGGGTTTGGAGGCCAGGCACCATTTGTTCAGCATTTCGAGCCCAGAAAGATGAGTTAATTCTTGAAGGAAATGACAGTGAACTTGTATAAATTCAGCTGCTTTGATTCAGCAAGCCACAACAGTTAAAAACAAGGATATGAGGAAATGTTTGGATGGGATCTATGTTTCTGAAAAAGGAACAGTTCAGCAGGCTGATGAGACTTAAGTTGTACGGCTACAGAAACAGCCAGATAATGGATGATTTCTCAGACTTATCTGTGACATATCTTTAAGATACAATAAAAGTCATTATTGATTTGGGGGTAAGGAAAAGTAGATGACATAGTTTTCACAAAAGCAATGTCTAATAAACCAAGAAAAACTCATCTCCATACCTCCTCTGAAAATAGGCAACAGCTCAGGATGGCGAGTACCTCACAGGCCATCAAAACCTCTGCTTACAAGGATCGCTGCCGATGTCTAGCCTAAAGGCTCAGTTTTCCTGACATGGAAACTGAGGCCTAGATGAGGTGGCCTGGCACCTAGCGGCAGCCACCGAGTGCCTTGTTCAGTGCTTCTCATTGGCCCCGCTGGCCCGGGCTACAGTCGGGTGCTTTGCGGGGTCTGGGCTCTCGGGTGCCAATTCCCCTGGCCTCTGGCACATTTATAAATAGGGAAACAAATGGCAGTGCTGCCCCATGAGGTGCCTCCGACACATCCCCACACCAAAGCCTGCCATTACAAACCCCTCCAAGTCTAGCTTTCTCTCGCCACACAGTTGAAGAGCGCCAGGTGGGGAAGGCAGGTCAGGCCCTGGGTGAAGCGCTGCTGGGAGCCTTTTTGGTGTCTGGTGTCCCTTTCTCCTGCTCTGAGACACAGCACCCTCACCCCAGTTCTGCTGGGATGGCCGTCGTAGTATCCGTGTGCTGCCCACGTAGTGGGGAAGACAGACCACCTGGGCCTTTGAGGAACCTTATCCTCTGATGCCACAATGAGGGCTCAGGAGTAGTCCCTGGGGGTTATGGGTAAGAAACAGAGAAGCAGCTCCACCCGGTGTTCCCCAGACACAAGAGCCAAGAGGTCCTATTTTGCTCCATGTATTAGTTCCCTTCTGTCGGGTGACTGTTATTTCACACTGGGGGAAGCGGGAGGAGTGCAGGCCTGCTCTCACTTCAGCGACAGAACAGCTTCGTAAGGCCAATATTAGGCATTTTATTTTAGAAATGAGAAAACTGAGGTTAAGTAACTTGCCCAAGTCCACATAGTAAGAGGCCTTCAAATTCAGGCCTTTCTGCTCCAATCCCATTCAGTCCTCGGTTATTAATGCAGTACTCACTCAAGAAGAAGAAATGCGTAGCCACTCAGAAGTCAAGGAAATTTTGGGTTAAAAGTATAGTGGGAATTCTGGCCGGAGAGTGGCTAGGGTTGGGCAGCGGGGATACACACCATTAGACTGGGGTCAAAATTCCTGGCTCCCATCTCTGGCTCTGTCCTGTGGCCTCAGCTGCCAGGGCTCTGGCCAATGTCCACTTACCTGGGCATCCACATTCCCGCCCAAACAACATGAACTCAAAGTCCTTTGAAAAACTGAAAAGGTCCAGGGTTGTGCACCAAACACTAGATTTGATTTTTCCTGAAGGTCTGGTAGGCTATCAAGCAGATTTCCCATTCAATGCAGGCCCAACAACTGCCAAGGGCTGCTGGGGCACATATGGCAAAGAAGTCTGGCCACACAGCCCTACTGGGAAATTCACTCTGGCCTCTATGGCCACAGGGAGGGAAAGAACAGCGCACGTTGCCACGCACTTCCCACTGTGACCAAGGTTTCACCTTGACAAAAGAGGGCCGCTGCTCTCTCCTCTGTCAATGATCTTAGTACCTGCTCAGGATTTTCAGTTTCCTGTAAGCACTTATAGGGTTGTCCTTTGCAAGCAAGGACTAAAAATACAAGAGAGCTGAGTGGTTTAGGGACTAAAGCCTGGAGCCACCGATGGGGCAGCTAGTGAAGAGCAGCAGTAACACACAGCATGTTCTCTCCAGAGAGATGGAAAATCCCAAAAACTAGTCTATGGGTAAGGAGAGTCTGATCCTACCCATTTAAAGAAATGGAAAGGGAGGCACAGGTAAGAGGACTTGGCCAAATCTCCCACTTCTAAGCAGCAGAATCCATGATCAGACCCCAATCTTTTAGACCCAACTCTCAGCTCTCTTTCCATCCCCAAGGTCACCATCACCTCACAATCCAAATGAGTTAACTAATCAAGCTCCCCCTGCAAACAGGTATATTCATCATGGCTGGGAGCTGTTTAGGTAGAGTAAGTCTGAAATGCCCTTCCTACCTTATTCGTCCACAATTCAATGGGTAAATGTTTCACAGTATGTCTTTACTGTGAAAATATATAGATTCAGCAAATCTGAGCATAAGAGCTAAACATTTAAAGAAATGAGGCAGCAAAAACCAGCCTGTGGAGGAAAACAAAAGATCTAGTTTCAATGGTGTTATTAAACTTAATGCCTAACCACAATTCAATGAGATGGAAATCTGACATCAGGAAGGTGCTTTGTCCAAAATAAACAACAGGAAGAATGAACAGGTAATATGATAAGCAGAGAGGGAAAAACCCTGAAGTGTCATGACCATCTGATTGGTTGCAATTTAATGGGTAAATATGTGCTGAGTACACACACTGAGCTAAACTGAGTATGAAAGTTACATAAAAATTGCAACTTTGTACAACACTTATTTTTACCTGAGATGCTCGGCTCCATTCAGGCTGCACTGGAGGTCAACTAAGGCTCCTGCCAAGAGTTGTTCCAGACATGGTCACCTCTACAAAGACTTTCTTGGCCCTCAGGTAGAAGTAAACACATTCTTCTTTGAACCCTACACAGCATCTCTAAGGCCTTATGTCACCTGCTCCTGTGTCTGTATCTCTCACCTTATCATATAAATGTTTTCTAACAGTGCTAATGAAAAAGAAGTTGCTTACAGGTGTTTACTGATTAACTAAATGTATTCCCCTGTTCCAATCTCCCTCCTGATGCTCAAACAGCCTCTGCAAACTACCACCCAGTAATTCATGCCTACAAATATTCATTTAAAAATGAGTGTCTACAAAGTTTCACGTATTGGACTTAGTGCCAAGCAGAAGTAGATTTAGCATGAAATTAATGACATTCAAACTTTAGGGTCCCACACTTGCACCTTCCAAAGTTCTCACCTGGCTTTGGTGATTTTGTATTTTATATGTCTTTAAAAGGGCAGACCAAACGCTACAAGCTTCAGCTCCACAAAAACTAGACCCTCCTTCCCATGGTGCCAAGCATACAGAGGTGAACAGGCAGGCTTTCTCTCCCCTTCCAGAGTTTCCACTTTGATGAGGAAGACAGACCGCTGCTTGTTCATTCACTCATTCAACATTTCCTAAGTAATGCGAGGAAGCGGGCACTCTGAGGTGCCCTTGAGGAGAAGGTCGCTGCCCTCCAGGACGAAAGCCTGCAGTGTGCAGGGAACAGAAACCAATTTAGATCACCGCAGCCAGGAGTGCTGGTGAAAGATCAGCATCAAGACGCTCGGGGATACTGATCTCTAGCACGAGTCCTAACCTGTGGCAGGTGTCTGGGATCTCTGGTCTCAATGCGGGAGTTACGGGAGGACCAGACAGGGAAACAGAAGAGGCAAATACAACCGGGTCAGCGCTGCGACCGGAGAGCAAAGGACTGGGGGACGCCTCCCGAGCGCTCTAACCTGCGGGGCCGGCGGCCTCGGGATCTCACGGTCAGCCAGCGAAGCCTGCGGACGGATCTGCGAGCCCCCCCACCCCACCCCCAGGCGCCCCTGCCCTGGAATAAAGCTGCCCGCTCCGGCCGAGCCGCGGGCTCTCGGGGCCGCCGCCTCCGGGCCCCTCCAGACCACTCCCCTGCAGGCGCTTCCTGCCCCCAAGCTTAAGCGACGGGTGAGGATCCGGGGTCCCCGCCGCCGCCCGCCTCCCCGCCAGCCCGCGGTTTCCATAGCAACCCACTCACCACTTCCCGGGCCCGGCTGGAGAAGTCGCCCTTGGGCCGCGGGCTCCGGCGGAACAGCTCGTCGCGGCTGCCGTCCGCCCCGCCGCCCACCGCCACGCCCAGCGCTTTATTGCGCGTCTTCACGGTCTTGACGCTGGCCCGGAACAGCAGCGTGATGTCCACCGCCATGGCCCCCCGCACCCGCGGCCCCCAGCACGGCCGCTCACGTCAGCAGCCCGCGACCGCGGCGCCGGAGGACCGTTCCGCCGCGCACGCCTCCGCCCGCCAACCGCGCTGCGAGTAGAAAGGTTCCGGCCTCCGCCCAGCCGGCGCGGCGGGAGGAGAAAGGTTCCGGCCTGGGCCCGCGCTCCCGCCGGCCCGGGACGCCAAGCTCGAGCCCCGCAGTCCGCCCCGCGGCCTCGCCGGCCCAGGCGCTGGGGGTCCGTGGGTCCCAGAGGGCGCGAGGGCCCGGCAGACGGTCCCCGGGCCGGCGGGTGGCGGGGCGCTGGGGTGGGGGGAGGTGACGCAGCCCGACCTTTGACCTCAGGGGCTCCCTGCCTGGGTGTGGGGAGCGCTAGCCGTGGCGGGGGTCCCCGACGCGGAGCTGGGGGCCAGAGGCCCTCCTTGCCAGCCTTCTCCTGCTTGATCTGCGACTTGAAGGCAGCACCTCCCCGGCGTGTTAATTGTGAATTAAATGAGATAATTTGTGTAAAGCTCTTGGGGGCTGCCCGGTTCGTAGGGACCCTAAAAGTTATAGACCACGGATAAGAATGTGACTGATTGTCTGTGTTGGGGAAGAGCTCTATGGAGAAGCGCTCGCCCTGTTAGAGAGGGCTGATTTGAAGGATGACTAGGAATTCATCAGTGGAGACACCTGTCTAACCTTGATGTATAGTTGTTTTGTTTTTTTTTTTAAGATTTATTTATTTATGCATACAAGAGCTGGGGTACAGGCCAGAGATGTGGGGGGCGAGAGGATTCAGCAGAGACAGAGCAGGGAACAGAACAGGCAGATCGACTGAAATACACTGCTGAGGGGAGCAGTGGGGAGACAGGTCTGCCGCACCATGTGGGTAGCTCCCTGGCCCGCCGGGGATTGAACTAATGCTGCAGAGGCTGTGCATTGCTTCATAGTGCGGTGTTTAACCCCTTGCACCACCAAGGAGGCCCAATGATGTATAGTTTTTAAATTTGCAGTCTTAAGTCAACCTGACTACGAGTTAGCCAGTGAGTTCTTTGTATATTTTGGTTCAAAATTCAGATTTTATTCACAGTCTCATTGATTTTGTCATTTTATTTTCTTAATAGGACACACTACTGAAATATGTATTAAAGCAGTGGTCATCAAAGCGCTCAGCAAGATAAGTTTATTTTCATAATAAGATGTTATTTGCCTTTTCTCTCTCATTCTTTCACGAGTTGTAAACAGCTGAGCCTTCCAGAGGCTGAGAGACTGTGATATTGCAAAATGACCAATGCAAAACAGCTGTCTTCTATTAAGACAGACTTTAAAGAGATTTGCAAAAATGTAAAACAATGCCATTCTTACTAGGTTTTTTGTTGTGTTTTAGAAATGTAGTCTTTCACAAAAAGATACCATTTGTGTTCATATGTAACGTGTTTATTTTTAAGTGAATGAGTTTCTTTTTCTAATATGGTATATATCAATAGATAAAGCCCATATAAACAAAAGTTGTTTGGGGCCCGCAATCATTTTTAAGAGTATAAAGGAGTTCTGTGATCAAAAGTTTCAGACCCACTGTGTTAAAGAAATGAATTTATCAAAAGTAATGTTACAGTACAACTGTATTTGAAAGGAAGAGGGAAACTTGTTGAGAACCTAAACTGTAGCCACTCCCGCCTTCCTGTATGAGGAAAATAAATTTCCATACAGCTTTCTTCCGCCTACAGAGTAAGAGAGAAATTGCAAAATCTCTGCCAAGGATTCTGTCCTGCATAAATGGCCCTTTGTTTTATTGAGACATTAATGAGTCTTTGGCTATGCAAAGGTAAGCCTGGGGCAGAGTAGAGCTAAAGAGAGTTAAATCGCTCTGCATAATAAAGTGAACGGGATTGAATTAGGGGAAAGAGGGGAAACCAGACCCAGCATAAGGGTAGGGAAAGAGAGTAGTTAATTGAGGAGGGACTTTGGTGGGAGGGGGGCTGAGCGATGCTGACCCTTCATTGAGTAATGCCTTGTGTGACTGGTGTGTGGGTGCTGTTTGGGGGGATAAATTGGTGGGAATAAAGGTCTAAGTTTTCTGTCTGCATCTGCAAGAGCAGAAAAGATTGAGGACATGAAACCCAAGTCAACTCAAAACATCAGGCTCTAAAGCCACAAGTGGCCACAAGTACATAAAATTCCCCCAAAAGTCGCAAAGATCTTGAGAGACCAAGATCTTGTGGACTTCCCACAGATCATGGTATGAGATTTCACTCTTTTTAAATTCTACTTTTAACCTCAAAGAGCAAGGTTGGGCTAACAACTATTTGAAACCCCACAATACTGAAAGGAGGTGGATAAAAAGGAACAACAGAGCTGTCTTGGGAGTGAATTACAGTCAGCTGGGCTAGATGTAGAACATGAACTATGACTCATACGTAATCATCTTTCAAGCATTAGGCTGGGCAGTCTTCTCTTGAAAAACAATAAGGCACGTGGGAACTCCGAATATACTTCCTGTAGGGTAAGGTAAAAAGTATCAGGCTTTTCTGCCCTCCCGCCATTAGGGTTGATGGTGGATCCTTGCGGTCCTGAATGCATGCCTGATGGCGGGCACCTGGAGTAGGGTGCGGGCATATGTAGATGGGATTCACCTGGGCTAAGACTGGGCTTATAAGGGTGGCGCAGCAGAGTGCAGGGTGGTGGTGCGGTGCTGAGGACGGAGGAGTGCTGCTGAGAGTGGCGGAGCGCAACGGAGTATGAGAAGAATACACGCGAAAGCAGAGAGCAGAACCATGAGAGGAGCAGAGAACAAGGCCACCAGAGAAGGCCAGATCACCCAGAAAGAGTGAGGACTTGCCGGGGGTTGGGAGGCATCCCACCCTCCCGGCCCCCAAGCACCCCTGCCTGCTGTGTACCTGGTAAATCCCAATAAAAGCCTGAAAAGCCACCAAAGGCTCCAGGACTCCTCATTCACCCCATCTGCTTGGGTCATAGAGATCCTGCTCCATGTCCTCCTGCAATTACACTTCCTAAAAACAGCCTCCCATGCAAACAGGATAGATGTAAATGTAAATGTTGCCGAAATTGGCCTCCTACCCAATGGCACAGAACTAAAAAACATGCCACCTGCTTTTGAGAAAAGGACCAACTTAATAAAGGGTCACCTGGCAGGAGACTGGAGGCGAGGTTCTCAAATCAGTCTCCCCGAAGATGGCACTTTGGGTGATTTATGGGAAAGAAGAACAAATACAAAAAACAGAAGTTGGTAGATGGAGTTCGATTTTGTTGCTTTCTGCTAAATGATGGAGTCACTCAAATGTGGTTCCAGAGCGGCAAGACTGAGCACCCTGTCTTCTGAATGTTGTCCATCTAACCATGAGTCAGGTGTCATAGCCCCATCCTCCCTGGCTGGCTATTTTCAGTCCAGGCAATGAGATGGCACCTCAAGGACAGCAAACACTCTTATGGCCCTGCTCTCTGGAATACAACTTGTCAACTTATGAAAAATCAAGGTTTTTCCCCCCCTTGTTTAAAAAGAATTGGGGTACTCTTTCCATTGCTGCAAGCCCACCCCGCAGTTCTTACAAGATGAACAGAAGTAGCAAAAGACCAGCAATGACCAGCAGGGTTTTAGCTTGGAACCATTTGGGGACTCCTACAGAAGTCATTCAAAGAAACCTTCCTCTAAAGGGAAGACTGTGCATCCAGATGCCTGGCCCCTCAGATGTGCTGTGAGTGAGAAACAGACCTTAGTTTTCAGAAACTGGTGTGACACTTCCCATGGCCCTGGGGAAGCGCGGACGCTTGGTGTGTGGAGGGTGCCTAGAAGAGTGAATTCTTACAGGTTGGCACTGGGAAATGAGCTTTTGGGTTCATGAAATCGTAGACTTGCCACAATAAAATAGTAACTGGAGCCCCCTGTGGTAATCTGTTCTATTGCTCATTTGCAGTCATGACCCCTCGCTAGGGGAGAATTATAGTTCTTAGGCCTAACTTATCCCAGTGATTCCTTTTAGTCATGAAAAGTGTTGGCTTAGTGCCACAAGTGTAAAAGCTAACGTGGGGTTCACCATGGTCTTCCCTCTGCCATAGTAACCCACAATGTACCAATATTTCATGGCCTGTGTCCCTGAGAGGTGACATGGAGCTCTGCTGACCAGTAGACCTTGGCTCCTACAGTCCATGGATTCGTGTTGTTACTGCAGTGTGATGGGCCTATCCTGATTGACCGGCACAACCTATAGCCAGACATCCATCAAATCACAGTTGTTGAAGTCGTTCTTGACATCTTTACAGCATTTCCTCTCAGTGGGTGAGGGATGGGGAGAAAGAAACTGCTATGTCACACCTAGATCTCACCAATGGTGGGGAAATTCAGATGATGGGAATCCGGACGACTGACCACACCATGTTATAATTCACAGTGCAAGAGGAGAGGACTTGGAGAACATTTCGCTTTAGGAAGTGGACTTAAAGAAATTTATTAAAGAGACTACTTTCTCCTTAGGAAAACGGACAAGAATGATGATTCTAGGAATGAGAGAAGAAGAAACTTCTGTTCCCAAGAAGGAATCTAGCTGAAGAAATCGGGGTAATGGAAAAATTGGTAGAAGGTTGGTGGCATGCAAAATGCTGCCATCACAGTGGGGAAAATATGTAGGTTCTCAAAAAATTGAAAATAGAACCGTCATCTGATTCATTAATCCCACTTGTGGGGATTGAGCCAAAAGAACTGAAATCAGGATCGTGAAGAGCCAGCTGTGCTTGCACATTCCTAGCAGCATCAGTCAGAGGAGCCCAGACAGGAAGCAACGTCAGTGTACAACAGTGGATGAGTGGATCCAAGAATGTAGTCTGTGCATGTGAAGGAGTACTACTCAGCCGTTAAAAGGAAGGCAGTCTTGCACTATGCAGCAGCGTGGGCGACCCTTGAGGATGTGAGGCTCAGTGAAATGAGTCAGTCACGTGAAGTATCTAAAATAGTTAAACTCCTAGGAGAGAATAGAATGGTGACTGCCAGGGCCGGAGGAGAAGGACAGTTGCTAATTAATGGACATGGAGTCTCAGTTACACAGGACGAGTAAG